CATATAACACACACACAACTCACTCCTCATAACACACACACAACTCACTCCTCATAAAACACACTCACAACTCACTCCTCATATAACACACACACACCTCACTCCTCATAACACACACACACAACTCACTCCTCATAACACACACACAACTCACTCCTCATATAACGCACACACAACTCACTCCTCATAACACACACAACTCACTCCTCATAATGTCGTAGGGGTTCTTAAGGAGATATGATGGATAAGGTAAACTCCCTTTTTGGATGGTAACGATATATATTGTCAGACTGTGGTAAGGAATGGATGGGCCCCGCCTGCCGTGTCACTGCCTGGATGTCTATACGCCAAGTGAGAGCGAGGCAACTCGTCTCACTGACTCATGCTGTATCCCGTGACGTCATACAGCCACAGGCCTAGGGAGCTTCTATATAAAGCACATGGATGGTACTATGATACTCAGTTTATCTATATAACACATATAAGGGGATCAGCAATAACACATATAAGGGGATCAGCAATAACACATATAAGGGGATCAGCAATAACACATATAAGGGGATCAGCAATAACACATATAAGGGGATCAGCAATAACACATATAAGGGGATCAGCAACTATGCTGACAATAACACACACACACAACTCACTCCTCATATAACACACACACACTCACTCTCATAAACACACACACAACTCACTCCTCATAAGACACACCAAACTCACTCTCATAACACACACAACTCACTCCTCATAACACACACGCAACTCACTCCTCATAACACACACACAACTCACTCCTCATAACACACACACAACTCACTCCTCATAACACACAAACTCACTCCTCATAACACACACAACACAACTCACTCCTCATATAACACACACAACTACTCCTCATAACACACACACAACTCACTCCTCATAACACACAAACTCACTCCTCATAACACACAATCAACTCACTCCTCATAACACACACACAACTCACTCCTCATAACACACACACAACTCACTCCTCATATAACACACACACAACTCACTCCTCATAACACGCACACAACTCACTCCTCATAAAACACACTCACAACTCACTCCTCATATAACCCACACACAACTCACTCCTCATAACACACACACAAATCACTCCTCATAACAACACACACACAACTCACTCCTCATATAACGCACACACAACTCACTCCTCATAACACACACAACTCACTCCTCATATAACGCACACACAACTCACTCTTCATAACACACACACACTCACTCCTCATAACACACACACAACTCACTCCTCATAACACACACAACTCACTCCTTATAACACACACACAACTCACTCGTCATAACACACACAACTCACTCGTCATAACACACACCCCACACTCACTCCTCATAACACACACACAACTCACTCCTCATAACACACACACCAACTCACTCCTCATAACACACACACACAACTCACTCCTCATAACACACACACAACACAACACACTCCTCATAACACACACACACAACTCACTCCTCATAACACACACACACAACTCACTCCTCATAACACACACACAAACTACATCCTCATAACACACACACACAACTCACTCCTCATAACACACACACAACTCACTCCTCATAACACACACACAACTCACTTCACATAACACACACACAACTCACTCCTCATAACACACTCACAACTCCTCATAACACACACTCAACTCACTCCTCATAATACACACACACAACTCACTCCTCATAACACACACACAACTCACTCCTCATAACACACACACACACACAACTCACTCCTCATAAACCACACACCCACAACAACTCACTCCTCATAACACACACACAACTCACTCCTCATAACACACACACACAACTCACTCCTCATAACACACACACACAACTCACTCCTCATAACACACACAACTCACTTCACATAACACACACACACAACTCACTCCTCATAACACACTCACAACTCAATCCTCATAACACACACACAACTCACTCCTTATAACACACACAAACTCACTCCTCATAACACACACACACTCACTCCTCATAACACACACACAGCTCACTCCTCATACACACACACACAACTCACTCCTCATAACACAACTCACACCACTCACTCCTCATAACACACACTCACAACTCACTCCTCATAAAGCACACACAACTCACTCCTCATAACACACACACAACTCACTCCTCATAACACACACACAACTCACTCCTCATAACACACACACAACTCACTCCTCATATAACACACACAAACTCACTCCTCATAACAACACACACACAACTCACTCCTCATAACACGCACACACAACTCACTCCTCATAACACACACACAACTCACTCCTCATAACCACACACCACAACTCACTCCTCATAGCACACACACAAACTTACTCCTCGTAACACACACAACTCACCCCTCATAACACACTCACAACTCACTAATCATAACACACACACAACTCACTCCTCATAACACACACACACACAACTCACTCCTCATAACACACACACAACTCATCCTCATAACACACACACACAACTCACTCCTCATAGCACACACACAACTTACTCCTCGTAACACACACAACTCACCCCTCATAACACACTCACAACTCACTAATCATAACACACACACACACAACTCACTCCTCATAACACACACACAACTCACTCCTCATAACATACACACAACTCATTCCTCATAACACACACAAACTCACTCCGCATTATCATTCTTCTCTCAGATACTTTCATAATTAAAAAAAATATTGAAGTTTTATTCCTTTATCCTTCCGATTCTTCTTTTACTTCTCTCCTTCTCTTTCTTAATCTTTTTCTATTCTTTCATCTCCCTTCTTGGGTCCCTTCCAGTTTTTCTATCTACTTGGCTACAACTTCTCCTTCTTAGCTTCCTTCCTTCCTTCCTTCCATCCTACCTTCCTTCCTTCCATCCTACCTTCCTTCCTTCTATCCATTCTTCCTTCCTTCTATCCATTCTTCCTTCCTTCCTTCTTTCCTTTCTCATTTCTCTCAATCGCAGATTAAAAATTAAAATCTACAAACGCCCCCTTAAGGTTGCAGACAAGCTAGACATACACCCTAAACACCGTCACCATTACTTGGTTACTGGGGTTTGAAGCTTATCAACCACACGATGATATGGAAGGCTGCACAGTAACCTCTCCACCAGACACAAAAATCCTCATTTTAATCCTTCAAATGGGGATTAAATCAAACTCTCACCTTATATACACTTAGAGAAATACACATCGTGATGTATATATTCTGTGTCTCATTAGCTTGTTATTTCTGTCAAGGAAACAGTGTCAACAGTCATTAGGACGCATTCCAAAAATTAATAGGAAATCTACAGAAATTTTTCAATGGAAGATCCTCCCTAATGATTTTGTTTTAGTTACGTATGTCAAAAAATAACAACTGACGAGCCTGGCTGGGTTCATGAGAGGGGGGGGGCGGTATCCCCTGAAGCGAGGCCAGGTGACCTGCAGGTGACCTGCAGGTGACCACTACCGCTACTACCACCATTACTGTTACCAAATCTACTACCACCATCATCACCAACACTACCACCACCAACAACAACAACATCCAGTCTCTGGCACAGCATCAGGTAAGACTGACTTACTAACAGTGTTCTTGCAGGAAGACTATTAACAGTGTTGACTTAACATTTACCTCAGTTCACCCTGCTCTTGGCACCACTTCCCGTTTTCTCCACAACACGCAATTATCTTCAATAGAATTTCCATGTCGCAGGTTATATTTCACATGTAACTGATGTGTGCAGGTGATGGTGGTGGGGTTGAGGGTAGTGGTGGTAGTGCGGGTGGTGTAGTGGGTGTAGTGGTGTGTAGTATGGTGGTGTGGCGGTGGTGTGGTAGTGGTGGTGGTATGTGGTGGTGGTGGTAGGGTGGTAAGTGGTGGTGGTAGCGTTGGCAGTGGTGATAATGGTGGTGGTGGTGGTACTTGAAGGCTTGTTTAATAGTGATATTTCATAGTTCTCAGAAACGTACTTCTACGTACTTGCACGTACTTGCACGTACTTCAACAGGGAGCGCCTTTGCTCCACCAAAGGCGCTCCCTGTGAGCGTATTTGCCTTGACCTGTTGCTTCTCTTGCTAAGCCCCTGATGACGCACGGAGACGCGTGAAAGATCTTGAGCTGAAGATTTCCATGCCCTCTCGTAGCTTGTCTTGCATTAAGCACGTCTGTCTGTGTATTATATGTTCCTTCATGTTTATCCGAATTCTACCTAACGGATGTGTCCCAGATTTTGCAACATCGTTGAAGAGACTCACCATTTGTGGTCTATTTACAGAGAAAATCCATAGTTATTCCACTCATAAAGAGGGGTCGACGCCCCCACATTATTTATAAATATTTGCTCATTCGAAAGTGAAAATTTGAGTAATAATAATATGAGTCAGACATTTCCTGACCTTCGTTGTGTCTTCCTTTCACTCCTCCAGCTCCGTCATTTTCCCTGAATCGCGACCTTAAAGTAAGTCCGAAGAACTGCCTGCGTAACTTACGGCAACATTTTTAGTTCAGACACGAAAGCTCCTCTTGTGTGACGTCACCAACACGCAGCTCTCCCATTGGCTGGCACAGGTTGACCGTCCTGCCTCCTAATTGGTCCGCTGAGATGATCCACGAGAGGGGAAACCCCTGTTTTAGGGAGCCCTAACTAAAATAATTAAAATAGAAACTATAGAATATTTAAATGGCTTCAGGAAGAAATCCAAATATTTTTCCACGAGACTATGGGTCCCATAATTTGCACTAGAGGTGGAGTCCATAACTGTACCACTTGTAAGTTATACTGGTAATTGTTGAAGTGAACTTGTATTCGATTTTCTTATGGGTGAAATATAAGATAGTGAGAGAGGGCGTGAGTGGCAACCCTGGCAGGAGTGAGACAGTATATAAGAGGCAGCTGGCGAGAGCAGCAGCCTCAGTGCTTCCCTGGCAGTGTTCAGTGACGTGTGTGTTAGTCTCTCCCGCCGCGGCCCTGACTGAAAACTTAAATAAAAGTATGTAACACGTTACACACATGGTACCATAACCATCCTGATCATTCTACTCTTCGAGGTGACCACCATATAGCAGGCAACCACCCTCCCTCCCCCCCTTTCCTATAAAGTCAACAACAACTTAGTTTTTAAATTTTTTTTTGACTTACGAAAGAGAAAGTAGAAAATAAGAGAGGATTCCTAAGGTTTTGCGTCATTGAGTTTCTGTATAGGTGATTGATCCTGGCACAGGGGTGCCATAAGGTGCCTCTGAGCCTGTAAAGTGGGTAAAAGTCCAGGAGCTACGTTTTAACTGCTATGTAGGCCAAGTGAGATCCTACATGTTGCCCAGCATGTACACAGCTGCCGTAAATACCTCACTGATTAATACGGCGTTAATACGACGTTTCGGTCCGACTTGGACTACTGTATGTGGTCCAAGTAGGACCGAAACGTCGTCGTAAGCTTCTCTCTCTCCTAAGTGCGGGTTATTAGTGAATACGATTTTTTTTCCTAACATAGGCCTTAAGAGATACGATGAACCCACTAACTGGAACTTTTGGTCATATGATCGAGACTTTCCACTGGCTGCCAATCCACACTGTAATCATTACACATAGTGTCCACTATGTTATAGTGTGGTCCGCCGCTTATAAGGAAATAATGAACGTTAGTGTCCTGGGATTGAACCAAAGACAAACGTTGAGAACGTTTTTATTGAGAGAACGTTTCTGTCTGTGAAAGCCTTGTCATGACTTAATAAACTTTTATACAGTGCGAAACGTTGTCCCGGCTAACGTTTGTTTTGCAACGCACGAAATGCAGAGGTTTGCAACAAGACTAGTCCTGGAGTTGCAGGACTGACCTACCTGACGAACGTAGAGGACCGATGAGGGCTGGCTGGTGGAAGCGATCAAGCTTCCACCACTCCTTGCGCTCAATACATCGCACGGGGGTTTAGCGCCTTGTGGAATACAAGGAAGGAGAGAAAGACCCCGGGAGATATTACAACAATATACAAAATACTCAGTGGATTTGACAGGGCAAAAAGGGAAGGGCTGAAAGACGGAGACAGCACAATGCGGCTTACATACGCGGCCTCAGGGTGGTCAGGGACCACCATTATCTCCAGACGTGAGGTAAGAACACTGCTCAGAGAACAGTAAGAGAGAGAGAGAGAGAGAGATGAATCAAAGTTCATTCGGGTTCTTTTTCTTAGATTCGCCGGTACTAGCGGCCCGGGTCTCATGTTTACGTAGGTTTGCCAGGACGGGTACTAGCCCGGGTCTTCTCCATGTGGTGACCTGGCAGTGGCTCCCGAAGGAGTGTCGGAGCTTGTAAAAGTCATGTACCCATTGACAGCCCTATCGCGGAGACACAGTGAGCATTCGTGTCAAGTGGAGCACCGTTTACAGCCCTATGGCGGGGGCAACTCTGTGACATGGGCACGGTGGATCTTCTTCTGAATCAAAGTGTGGCATTTAAATGTGGATGGAGTCACCGACAAACGTAAAGTCGTGAGAAAAGAGAGTAGGAGAGGAAAATGCTGGTATTATGGCACTCACAGAGAGGAAACTCTAAGGAATAATAAGAAATTGCATATTCCCTGAGGGCTACCAAATACTAAGAAAGGAAAGAGAAAAAACACCAAGAAGGAAAAGGAGTAGCACCGATAATTACAAGAAACTGTAGAAACCTGGAAACCTGGAAACAGTGGATTTCTGGGATTACATAGCAGGCAGTGTAATGACTGGAGAGACAAACGTAATAATGACAGAGATATAAAACGCATCCAAACCGTATGAAGCCGAGGTAGGAATACCAGCACACTGATTTGCATATTGGAAACAGTGGCTGAGAGCGAGAGAGAGGAGAGAGAGAGGAGAGGAGAGAGAGAGAGAGAGAGAGAGAGAGAGAGGAGAGAGAGAGAGAGAGAGAGAGAGAGAGAGGGGAGAGAGAGAGAAAGAGGAGAGAGAGAGAGAGAGAGAAGAGAGAGGAAAGAGAGAGAGAGAGGAGAGAGAGAGAGAGAGAGAGAGAGAGAGAGAGAGAGAGAGAAAGAGAGAGAGAGAGAGAGAGAGAGAGAGAGAGAGAGAGAGAGAGAGAGAGAGAGAGAGAGAGAGAGAGAGCAGGAGAGCTAAACTCTCACCACCAGAAGACTACCCATAAGGAGATTGACTAAGAAATATATACAAAGTCCTCACTTAGGAGAGATAGATTTTTAGATTTAGATTTTGCCACCGAAGTGGCTAGTTTATTGTGCACCCCATATCCATCCTGTGGATGGTAGCGCAAAAGCATATGCACACACAATAGGCCTAGGAACTAGGAGCTAAGCCCCAAAAGGAGTGAGAGAAAATTTATGACAGTTTCTCGGTCCGACTTGAACCATTGTGACTTATGAGTCTTGATTGACCAGGAAAACTGGGACCCCATGGAGGACCATGACCATGGAGGACCATGGCCATGGAGGACCATGGCCATGGAAGACCAGGACCATGGAGGACCATGACCATGGAGAACCAGGACAATGGAGGACCATGACCATGGAGAATGAGAATTACGGAAGCAATCAGAAAAAAAAATTCTGAGGCAAAACATGTCATGAAAAAAAAGAGGGTGAGAGACGGATGAGAGATGGGTGAGAGATGGGGAGAGACTGGTGAGAGATGGGGGAGAGATGGGGAGAGACAGGTGAGAGATGGGGGAGAGTAAGGGATATTTCCAGCTGGACGCCACCTGGTTTATTCTGACAAAATGCTGATGACATAACTAAAACTGTCAGCTATCATGAGGTAACAAAATCAGGAATACCTGTTGGAAATGGTAATTGAGAGAGAAATAGAGGCAGCGAGTAGCAGGAAATGGGGCTATTGGAAGGGGACTACTGGAAGGGGGCTACTGGAAGGAGACTACTGGAAAGGGCTACTGGAAGGAGACTACTGGAAGGGGGCTACTGGAAGGGGACTACTGGAAGGAGACTACTGGAAAGGGGCTACTGGAAGGGGGCTACTGGAAGGGGACTACTGGAAGGGACTACTGGAACGGGACTACTGGAAGGGGACTACTGGAAGGGACTACTGGAAGGGGACTACTGGAAGGGGACTACTGGAAGGGACTACTGGAAGGGGACTACTGGAAGGGGACTACTGGAAGGGGACTACTGGAAGGAAACTGGTGACGCGAATTTATTTTTCTAAGAGAAATTCAGTGGGAATTTCAAGAAAATATGATATCCCGTAGGTCGATTGGTAGCGCACTCAGCTCACACACTGAGATCCTGGGTTCGATCCCCTACGGGTAGAAACACTAGGATGTGTTTCCTTAAGACACCTGCTGCTCTTGTTCACCTAGCAGCAGGTGTTAGTAGACTGGTGTGAGTCGCATCCTGGGGACAAAATTGACCTAATTTGCCCGAAATGCTCTGCGTAACCAGGGACTTTCTGTATAGTAGTACGTTATTGAAAGGAAGAAGGCACAGTACCATGACTGAAACAATACAGTCAGTGTGTGGCTAGTTCATGGTACAAGTGGACCGAAACGTTGTCTTAAGTTATTTGTGTATCTAAGGAAAGAAACAAAACTAACCATAGTCTCTCCTGCCTACCACCCCCACCTGGTTCCCCTCCCTCCCATGACTCCCCTCCCTGCCCCATTCCTCCCCGCCATTGCTCTGGCCTGCCATTACACCATCCTTCCATAATCACTCTCTGCACGGCATCTCCCTCTCTCCATGGATTTGTTCCTTCATTTATAACTCCCTTCCAGTGTTGCATTACTTCACTTATACCCACTTCTATTATATATATATATATATATATATATATATATATATATATATATATATATATATATATATATATATTTGTTTATTACATTTGTTAATGTGTGTGTGTGTTAGTATGTGTGTTTGTTGTGTGTGTGTGTGTGTGTATGTGTGTGTGTGTGTATCATGTGCGGTTGGTGGTCGTGGTTGTGTGTTGTGTGTGTGTGTGTGTGTGTGTGTGTGTGTGTGTGTGTGTGTGTGTGTGTGATAAATGGTTTGAAAACCGACAAGTTGAAGATTGAGACACTTATGCAACATATGGAATCTTCAATAAGGAAACGTTTCTCCACACAGTGGCTTCATCAGTCCAATACAAAGCAGAGAGGGGTAAGGAGAGGAGGAGTTTGAGGTAATCAGTCCCTTAGCCTGGAATCGATGTGTTCAGTCAACCACTCTTTAGAAAGTTCAGCATATGGCCTAGACTGTACTCTGTCTGCGGTCTTCTTTGACCCTCCCCCATCTTCATGACTTTGCACTTGGTGGGGTTAAACTCCAGGAGCCAGTTGTTGGACCAGGTCTGCATCCTGTCCAGATCCCTTTGTAGTCCTACAAGATCCTCATCCACTTGAATTCTCCGCATTAGCTTCACATAGTCTGCAAACAGGGGCACCGCTGATTCTATCCCTTCCATCATGTCATTGACATATGCCAGAAACAGCACCGTTCCTAGGACTGACCTTTGTGGGTCAGTCCTAGGCGCCCAGCTCTGACACCTCGTCACGTACCAACATTGCATTGTTTCCTTCCTGTCAGATATTCTCTGATCCATTGCAGTGTCTTACTTGTTATTCCTACTTCATTTTCCAGGTTTTGCATTAATCTCTTGTGCGAAACTGTGTCGCAAGCCTTCTTGTACTCCAAGAAAATGCAGTCTAATCATTCCCCCCTCTCTCTCTCCTGACTTACTTCTGTCACCTTGTCATAAAACTGTAGTAGGTTTGTGACAAAGTTTCCACTCCCTGAAACCGTGCTGGTTATCGTGTATATGCCCATTACTTTCTCGGTGCTCCATCAGTCTTTTCCTGATAAGCTTCTCCATGACTTTGGACACTATACACGTCAGTGTCACTGGTCTGAAGTTTAATGCTACCTGCCTATCTCCTTTCTTAAAGATTGGGACTACATTTGCTGTCTTCCACATCTCAGGTAGTCGCTTTGTTTCGATAGATGTGTTGAAGATTGTTGTTAGTGAGATGCA